GGAGTACAGTGGCACGCTCAGAAGGATTACAAGTGTGAGGTACTGAGCCCAGCTAGGAGGATTGTTTGAGCTCAGGAGTTCAAGACAGGCTTGGAAATGTAGTGAGATCTCATCTCTCCAAAAAATAAAAAAGTAGCCAGCTGTGGTGGGTGCATGGCTGTAGTCTCAGCTACTCGGGAGGCTAAGGCAGGAGGATTGTCTTAGCCTAGGAAGTTGAGGCTTCAGTGAGCAGAAATCATGACAATGTACTCCAGTCTGGGCAATAGAGTGAAATTCCCACTCAAAAAAAGAAAGAAAGGAAAAAATATGCCGGGCATGGCAGCTCACACCTGAAATCCCAGCACTTTAGGAGGCAGAGGTGAGAGGACTGCCTGAGTCCAGGGGTTCGAGACCAGCCTGGGTAACTTAATGAGACCTTGTCTCTACAATAAATCAAAAAATAAGCTGAGCATGGTGCCATGCATCTGTAGTTCCAGCTACTTGGGAGGCTGAGGCAGAAGGATCCTGAGCCCAGCAAATTGAGGCTGCAGTGGCTGTGAACGTGTCACTGCCCTCCAGCCTGGGCGACAGAGTGAGATTTGTGACTCAAAACAAAAAGAAAAGTAAAGAAAAGAAAATCCAAGCACTAAAATGCTTAGTATTTTAACATGTAGCAAGAGATGAGTAATATTTGTTGGTCTTATTATTATTATTATTATTATTTTTTGAGTTGGGAATCTCACTCTGTTGACCAGGATGGAGTGCAATGACAGTGGCGTGCTCACAGCCACCATACATTGACCTGCTGGACTCAGACGATCCTTCCACATCAGCCTTCCAGGTAGCTGGAGTTATAGGCGTGCGCCACCATGCCCAGCTACTTTTTAAATTTATTTATTGCAGAGATGAGGTCTTACCAAGTTGTCCAGGCTGGTCTCAAACTCCTGGACTCAGGCAATCTTCTTGCCTCTGCCTCCCAAAGTGCTGTGATTACAGGCGTGAGCCACTGTGCCATGCAGTTGGTCTTATTTTCAACAGGAGACGTGGCTGGAGGTGAAGGAAGGTTTTAGTTTTATTTACTGCTCTTTTTTTAAAAAAAATCGAATCCAGGTTATGGGTTTCAAAAAAGAAATAACCACTGCTATGGTTCGAATGTGTCTAGGCTGGAATGCAGTGGCAAACTCACGGACACTGCAGCCTTGACCTGCTGGGCTCAGGCGATTCTTCCACCTAAGCCTACTGAGTAGCTGGATGCGCGCAGGCCATTGTTTACTTAAGGACTGGCCAGACCATATGCTCTTTGAATTATGGCCACCGCCATGTTTCCTAAGCTTTGGCCCCCTCCCTGACCTTAGGGAGGTGAAGCTCCTCTCTCTTCTTTCTAATTTACTTCCTAAATAAACTATATTTTCCAATCTAACTTTTGTGTAATTCTTTGCATCTTTCATGTGGTTCCAGATTGTACCCCCCCGAGGGTCTGACCTAACATTTTGGAGGCTACCACTGGGATTTTTAACCTAACTTGTTTGTAACAAATCTTCATATGTACCCCACTGATTGTAAAATAAAATAAAAATTTGTTAAAGAGAAAAAAATAAAAAAGGCGCATGCCACCACACTAGGTTAATTTTTTGATTTATTATAGAGACGAGGTCCTGCCTCTGTGCTCAAACCCTGGGCTCAAGCAATCCTCTCACCTCTGCCTCCCAAAGTGTTGGGATTACAGGCATGAGCTACTGCCCCCAGCCTCATGTTGAAACTTAATCCTGGTAGACTCTGGTGTGGCCATGTGCTTTTTGAGCTGTGGCTGTTGCCATGCTACCTGGCTTTGCTCCCTCCCCACCTTGGGAAGGTAAATCTTCTTTCTCTCTCTTTAATTTACTTTTAAATTAAAAAAAAATATATATATATTTTGAGTTAGAGTCTCACTCTGTCACCCAGGCTAGAGGGCAGTGGCATGCTCTTGGCCACTGCAGCCTCGACCTGCTGGGCTCAGGCGATCCTTCTGCCTCAGACTTGCAAGTAGCTGGAAATACAGGCATGTACCACCATGCCCGGATAATTATTTTCTTTGACTTATTGTAGAGATGAGGTCTCACCAAGTTGCCCAGGTGGTCTTGAACCCCTGGGCTCAGACAATCCTCTCACCTCAGTCTCCCAAAGTGCTGGGATTATGGGCATGAGCCACCATAAACTATATTTTCTAATCTAAAACAAACAAACAAACAAAAAAAGAAACTTCATCCTCAATGTGGCAGTATTGAAAGGTGGGACCTTTAAGAGGTGATTGGGTTATGAGGGCTCTGCTGTTCATGGATGGATGGTTTTTTTTAACACCCCCAGAAAGGACCTTTATTAACTAGTATCAGGGTTTTCAGCGGGATGGATGGTTTTTATGGGATTACTGGGCTAATGGATTAGTGGATTATCATGGGAAGGGATCTGGTGGCTTTATAAGAAGAGGAAGAGAGACCTGAGCTAGAACATCAGGACATTCATCCCCTATCATGTGATGCTCTGTGCTACAGAGCGCTCCTATCAGCAAGAAGACCCTCACCAGATATGGCCACTTGACCTTGGACTTCTCAGACTCCATAACTGTAAGAAATAATTTTTTCTTTATAAATTACCCAGTTTCAGGTATTCTGTTATAAGCAACAGAAAATGAACCGAGATAGAAAATTGGTACTGAGAAGTGAGGTATTGGTGATAACGAATGCCTGAAAATGTGGAACTGGCTGTGGAATTGGATAATGGGCCGAGGCTGGAAGAATTTGGAGGGAGAGCCTAGAAAAAGCCTAGATTCTGGTAAGAACTCAGAAGACAAGACCAGGGAAAGTCTGAACTCCTTAGTGATAGGCTGAGTGGTCATGACCAGACTACTGATAGAAAGATGGACTATAAGAGACATTCTGACAAGGTTTCAGATGGAACTGAGGAGGAGCAATGTATTAAAAACGAGTAAAGGTCATCCTTGTTATGAATTGGCAAAGAACTTGGCCAAACTGTGTCCATGCCCAAGGACATTGTGAAAGGCTTCACTTGAGAGTGATGAATTAGGGTATCTGGCAGAAGAGATTTCAAAGCAACAAAGTGCTGAGGCTGCTGTGTGGCTACTTCTAACTGCTTACGGTGACCTGGTAGAGAAAAGGGAAACAGAGCGGAAAAAATTGGAAAATCCTCAGCCTGGCTGTGTGGTTGAGAATGAAAGAGCGTTTTTAGAAGAGGAATTTAAGGGTGCATCCAAGCCACTACTTGCTAAAAAGATTAACAAGGCTAAAAGGCAGCCAAGTACCATTCCTCAAGAAAATGGAAGAAAATTTCTGAAGTCACTTCAGAGATCGAGGCTGGCCCTCTCATCACAGGCCCAGAAGTCTCGGGGGGCTGAGCAGTTTCAGGGGACAGGCTTGGGGTACTCTCCCATGGACTTGCCACCCGGGGCTTCCTGAGGTCTCTGTACCCCACACCCCAGTGTAGCGCTTTGCAGCTGCCCCAGTCTCAAGTGGCCCCAGCTCCGGAAGGTACAAATCATAGACCTTGGTAGTATCCATGTGCATCTAATTTTGCAAGCCTGCAAAAGCAAGAGCTGTGCAGGCATAGCAGCCTTGATAAAGATTTCAAGAGATCTTGTTGAAAGTCTGGGGACCCAGGCAGAGACTTGTCACAGGGGCAGAGCCACCCAGAGCCGTTGTCAAGACAATGTCTATTGACGTTGTCGAAGCAAGGCCACTGCAGAATCCCCACTAGGGCAATGTCCTGTGGAGCTGTGGGAGCAGAACAGCTACCAGGACCCCAGAACTGTGGAGTCACAGGCAGCATGCAACGCCCACCTGGGAAAGCTTCTGGCACCATCCTCCAACCCTTCTGTAAGAGCAGCCACAGGGGCTGCATCCAGCAAAGCCATCAGGGTAAGGCTGCCTGAGGCCTTCGGGACCAACATCCACCCCTGTGTATCCAGGAGATGCCACATGGAGTCAAAAAGGTTATGCTTTAGCTTTATGATGTAACATCTGCCCTGTTACCCCTTCTTGCCTATTTCTTTTGGAATGACAATGATGACAATGTGTACACTGTTTGTTCTCACCATTGTATCTTGGAAGTAGATAACTTGTTCTGGTTTCACAGGCTCCGACTTTGACTTTTCAGTTGGTACTAGGGAACTATGGGATGGATGAATACATTTTGTGAGGACACGAATTTTGGGAAGCTGGGAAGAATGATATGGTTTGAATGTCTCCAAAAACTCGTGTTGAAATGTAATCCCCAGCATGGTAGTATTGAGAGGTGGGGCCTTTAAAAGGGGATTGGATCACGAGGACTCTGCCATTCATAGATTTTTTTTTTTTGAGTTGGAGTGTCACTCTGTCACCCAGACTGGAGTGCAGTGGCCGCT